AGAAATGGCTAATTCCCTTTAAACCCAGGTGAGCAAATATGTACATGTTCTACCGCATTAAAGGCTTCTTTCTCATTATGTAGTTAATAACAAAAGATATACAACGTGTTTTTGTCTGTGAGTCGTAGTTTGGACGAAGTTGTCGGCGATTCTCCCTATAGTAAAGTCATGCAATGTTAATGTCAATGTCGCCGATCCATCATGCAGTGTAAACAAAGCAGCGACGAAACGCAAGCCCAGATAGTCAAGCAGTGTGAAAACATCTGTGACACGACTACTTTCAAAATCATGCAGTCTGAACTCAGCATAAGCCGAAAAAGAAAATGAATGAATGAATGAAAAAAGTACACATCAAATAAATATAAACCCGTTCTTACGTCCATGGCGTCAAAAAGTTTGTTTGACCTTCTTCTACGCCCGCCAGGTCATCGCTAGGAGAGCATAAATACCTTATACGCCCTCTAGTGGTGTGAAATTACAACTCAAAAATGGCTCTAACATTAACAATATCAAGGTCATTAGGTGCGTCCCAAATCGCATACTTAAGCAATATTCTACGCCATTTTGTAGTGTAAATAAAAAGTATAAAAAGTATAGTTTGTTCACACTAAACTCTAAAAATAATAAGTGCACTTTAATTACCCGGATGACGCATGTATTCAGCCATTAAAATGAAGTGTGGAATGATGAACAGTTCACGCACTCAACGACCACAACTTTGCTCACGTAGCGGAAGGGGTGGAGGTATCGGGCGCTTCTCCTACGAGAGTGATTATAGCGCCTCCCGATGGTGAATGTGGTTATACTTATGGCAGGTATTATTTGATAATTCTGTAGTTTATTTCACTAATTTGGCAACCGTCAAACGTCATCAGGGAAACGGTTTGAATTTCCTCTTAGTAAAAACAACATTGTTCCATTTAGGATGACACTACACATCCTAAGCTGTTGGGTGGGTAAGTGCATAAGTACATAGTGCATAAGTGCATAGTAGGCCATTTGGGACGCAGCTATTCTTAAACGTTTACTTAATGAAGATCTGTGTGTTGTGAGATCCATTCCTTCAGCATTTGGACTGACTGACTTCCCGCTAGTCACTGGGATTTGTGACTTCCAGTAAAAGTAAAAGTCTCCATAAAGGGTAATGAGCACGAATCCCAGACCTGATACACCCTGGTAACCTCTGCTACTGACACAAGCGGCTATTGTTACAAGCCTGCTTCAGCCCAGAATGTCAGCAGCATTGTGCCAAACACAACAAAGCCAGAACCATCTGATGCTAAGCTGATGTTCAGGATATGGTGCTAAAAAGTAACCAAAAACAAAGCTGAAGAAGATGTGCTGCACCTGGATGAAAAGAGCAGTGTTTTACAGGACGTTACTCAACTTTTGGCACCGTCAGTGGAAGCACTTTGAGAAAATGAAGATCTGCAAGTCCAGAAATATATACAGCTGGAGTCAAAATTATTAGGAATTTTTCACAGTATTTTCTATAATATTTTTTCTTCTGGAGAAAGTCTTATTTTATTTCGGCTAGGATACAAGCAGCTTTTAATTTTTTTTAAAGCCATTTTAATGTCAATATTATTAGCCCCCTTAAGCAATATCTGTTTTGGATCGTCTACAGAACGAACTACTGTTGTACAATGACTTGCCTAATTATCCTAACTTTACCCTAATTAGCATAGTTAAGCCTTTAAATGTCACTTTAAGCTGAATACTAGTGTCTGAATATCTAGTCAAATATTATTTGCTGTCATCATGGCAAAGATCAAATAAATCAGTTATTAGAAATGAGTTAATAAAACTATTATGATTAGAAACGTGTTGAAAAATCTCTCCATTAAACAGAAATTGAGGAACAAATATAAAGGGGGGTTATTAATTCTGACTTCACCTGTATATAGGACTACATTTGAGTTAAATGGTAATCAGATGGTACTGATATACATAATGGTAAATGCATTTTTATGCATCAGATGCAACCCAGTACTGGGAAACACCAATACACTACGGCCAATTTAGTTTCTCCAATTTCCCTATAGCGCATGTGTTTGAACTGTGGTGGAAACCGGAGCACCTGCAGGAAACCCACGCCAAAACGGGGAGAACATGTAAACTCCACACTGAAATGTCCCAGCCGGGACTTAAACCAGCGATCTTCTAGCTGTAAGGTGACAGTGCTAACCACTGAGCCAATGTGTTGCCTCACAACACAAAGAAATATTTACAAAATAAATAAAAATGCAATTTCTTTAATGACCACAACACATGTACTTTATATGTATGGAAATACTTTTCAGCACAGCTGTACAATCTGAACCCTGTGTATTTATTTCGGGAAAGATCATGCAGATGATCTTTTTCCTCAATAATTTGAGCAATTTTCAGTAAAACATGAGCATGACCATATATAAAAATACAACACAGATATTTAGAGATTTACACTAATTGTTTAATATTATTAATTCCATTTTCTTGTTGGCTTAGTCCTTTTATTAATCCGCGATCGCCACCGCGGAATGAACCCATCTCTGGGAAACATCCACACACTGATTCATACACACACTCATACACTACGGATAATTTAGCCAACCCAATTCACCTGTACCACATGTATTGTGGGGGACTGTGGGGACTGAGGGGGAAAACCGGAGCACCCGGAGGTTTTCGCCTGGAGGAAACCCAACTGAGCCGAGCCGAGCAGAGGTTCTAACCAGCGACCTTCTTGCTGTGAGGCGACAGCACTACCTACTGCGCCACTGCGTCGCCTGTTTAATATTATGTATCTTGAAATACTTTGCATAAACCATGGGATATAAAACGGTTAAAAAAAATCCAGAAGAATAGTAACAATTTGAAAAATATTAGAATTGATAAGTTATGCTTTTTATTTTAATTAAAACAATAGTAAAAATACTACTAATAATAATAATTAAAATATTCTATTGATGTAAAGTTGAATTTTCAGCATCATTACTCCAGTCTTCAAAATGAGTCAAATATGACGATTTGATTCCCAAGTAACATTTCTGATTATTATTTTGTGAATTTTGATTAAACTATTTTTATAGGTTTGGCATTAAAAGGTTTAAAAAAAGCAGCATTTATTTGAAATAGAAATTTTTCACACACGTTGCAACTACAGCCACGAGGATCCCCGCTTCATGACACACTGCACTGCTAAAATCAATTAGTTACTTTTGCTTTAAAAAAGTGAGTAAAAAGTTGATTTTACTTTTAAAAATACATATGCTGGACAAGTTGGCGGTTCATTCCGCTGTGGCGAACACTGATTAGTAAAGAGACTAAGCCGAAAAGAAAATAAATGAATGAATGAAGTAGTTTTGTGTGGTATGAGAAGCCACTGTGGTCTTTTTTCTTCTCTTATAAATGAGTTGTGCCTAAGAAGATGAAGACGAAATGCAATGAGCGCAATGCGGTGGCCTTTGGAGGCTTAGATGACGCTCTTTGGGAGAGCAGACAGGTAACAATTTGAAAAATATTAGAATTGATAAGTTATGCTTTCCATTTTAAGTAAAATAATAATAATTAAACACTTTATTGATGTAAAGCTGAATTTTTAGCATCATTACTCCAGTCTTCAAAATCAGTCAAATATGATGATTTGATTCTCAAGTAACATTTCTAATTATTATTTTGTGAATTTTGATTAAACTATTTTTATGGGTCTGGTATTAAAAGGTTTTAAAAAGCAGCTTTTATTTGAAATAAGGTTCATTAGTTAATGCATTTACTAACATGAACTAATCATGAACAACACATTTACAGCATTTATTAATCATAATTAAACATTTACTAATGCATTATTAACATTCAAGTCTATGCTTGTTAACATTAGTTAATGCATCATGAGTTAACATGAACTAACAATGAACAACTGTATTTTCATTAACTAACGTTAACGAACATGAATACTGTAGTAAATGTATTGTTCATTGTTTGCTCATGTTGGTAAATGCATTAATTAACATTAACTGATGAACCTTATTGTAAAGTGTGACCAGAAATTTTCTATATTTTTTTAAAATAATTTTGCTACCTCATTAATGTATTCAAAAAAAATCTATCTAATGCACATCCTTGTTGAATATTCATTTATTCATTTTCCTTCGGCTTAGTTTCTGATTTACCAGCGGTTGCCACAGCGGGATGAACCGCCAACTATTTCAGCATATGTTTTACACAGTGGATGCCCTTCCAGCCACAACCCATACAGTCTCACATTCACACACACACACTCATACACTATGGCCAATTTAGTTAGTCTTCAATTCCCCTATAGTGCATGTGTTTGGACTGTGGGAGAAACCGGAGCACTCGGAGGAAACCTACGCCAACATGGGGAGAACATGCAAACTCCACACAGAAATGCAAACTGACCCATCCGGGGCTCGAAACAGCGACCGTCTTGCTGTGAAGCCACAGTGCTAACCACTGAGCTACGGTGCCGCCCCTCCTTGTTGAATAAAAATCCAATAAAAGAAAAAAATTATAATATCTAGAAACACATCCAAGACAACCCCACTACACACACTGAGGCTTTTCTCCAGCGCTAATGGCCTGTAATATAACAAATGGTTTATGCTGCCGGTTTATGAATATTTTCCTCTATTTGCTGCAGGTATCGAGTGTCCAAAGACGTTATTTCAGCCCAAATGTCAGCGGATATGAAAACTGTAGATTCGAGGAGAATGCTGTTTGTCCTGGCGGCCTATTTTTGCCCTCCCAGCACGTCGTACCTCATGAAAAGCTCTAGATCTGTCCTGCCAGTGTCAATAACACCTAGAAAGAGCGGTGTATCAGACAACAGAGCACTGATAGATCCAGAGCATCTTATGAAATAAATGACAGAATTAATTATTTCATTTATTTAATTATCCCACTTTCACAACTCAGTGTTTAAGAAAATAATCCCAAGGAAAATAAGTGCACAGTGAATCTCCTTGCACATTTGTAACAGAATCAAAGCTGCGTACCGTAAAGCCCTTCAGACGATTCTGCTCCTCCTTCACCTCCTTTCCCATGATTCTGTGTGGGTCTGTTCCCACGCTGACGGGCGGCTCTTGGCTCGGGGTTTCGGGGTCACTGCCTTCCCTGGTTAACGAGGGGAGCTGAGCTGCTTTCTCATTCCTACAAACACAAACACACAGCCATCAAACCAACCTGCCAACAGAAGCGGCGGCTGGAGCCAAAAGCACACAGTGCAATTACAGCCACGGTGATCCCCGCTTCATGACACACTGCACTGCAAAAAAATCAATTAGTTACTTCACTTTAAAGAAGTGAGCAAAAAGTTGATTTTACTTCTAAAAAAAAACATATGCTGGACAAGTTGGTGGTTCATTCCGCTGTGGCGAACCCTGATTAATAAAGAGACTAAGCCAAAAAGAAAATAAAGAAATGAATGAAGTAGTTTTGTGTGGTAGGAGAAGCCACTGTGGTGTTTTTTCTTCTCTTATAAATGAGTTGAGCCTCAGAAGATGAAGACGAAATGCAATGAGCGCAATGCGATGGCCTTTGGAGGGTGATGCTCTTTGGGAGAGCAGACAGGTGCTCAAGACAGTTTTGGAGGGAATAATAACGTAATAATAATACTACTGAACCACTGTGATGACAGACTTTAGCTAAGGAGTTTTAGAAATGATGTTACGACTGAAGTTTATTTATTTGTTTATTATTGCGGATTGTACTGTTTTCCTCTTTGTCCCGCCTTCTTGCTGTTTTTCTGTTGTCTTATAGGCTCCCACGCCGGCGTGATTCCCTGCTCTGATTGGCTGCTGGTCTCCGAGGCCTGTATATAAGGGAGCTTCCGGCAGGGTTCGAGGAGCTCATTTCTGCTGCGTTCGGTGTTTGGAGTGGAGCTCCTGGGTTTCCCTCACCCCTTCGGCCGACGATCAAACACCAACCAACTTTGTATTGATGACCATCATATGTTTAAATATTTTTGAGAGTTTGAGCGTGTAGGGGTGACCTGCCTATTTATTTGATTACTTTTGACTTTGTTTATGTTAGGGAGTAAGGTAAGATTCTCGTATTTTTCTTTAAATAGTAATAGGTAATTTAGTGGATTTATTTTATAGATTCTTTTGTTTGTTATTTTGGCCTGTGCTCATTTATATAAACCCTATTTTTCTATAATAAATATCTTCATATATACTCTCAATTGAGTGTGTGAGTTTGGTTGTCGACCGAAGGGAATCTTTTGCTTTAAGTTTTGTTTAGTTTGGGAAATCCACCACCCCAACACATTTGTTTTTTCTTCGTTTATTATGCCCTTTTTGTTTCCCCTAGACTTGGGGCGTAATAAATGATCAAAACAACCTTTCAGATGTTTTACAATATGCTAAAAACGCAGCTTTGTCCGATAATGCATCACATCTCACACATATTTATCATCACATTATCTCTTCTAACTATATTACTGTTACGGTCCGTGGGAGTTTGTATTTATGTGCCTTCTTCCTCTCTGTTTTGCTCGTCTCCCTTCGCATCTCCTTGACTGTCATTCGCTCTTTGTCCCGCCCTATCACCTTTTGTTCCGCTTTTTTTTTTCCCTCTACTAGGTACCTCCTGATTGGATCCCGAGCCTGTCACTCCTCATTAGGGCGTTTCCTCGTCGACCAATTGGACTTCGTTCCGCGGACTTTAAATTCGACCGGCACGCCTTGTTTTTCAGAGTGCTATGTGTGTGCGTGTTGGTTTGTGTTCGCTCGTTGCTGTTCATCCTGTATGCTTTGTTCTGTGTTTCTGAATAACTACATCGATGTAAATTAGGTCATGGTTAAAGAGTTTATCATTCCTTTTTGGGGAAAAGGGAATAGTTTATTAAGTCGCGCGACATACATTTTGCCCGTAGGAAACACTAGGTAAGTGGGTGAACGCCGCATTTTGTATTTTTGCTGATTTTCTGTGTGGCGTCGCAAATGCTAAAGATTTCGGTTTCTTTTTCACATTTTGATTTTGATTAGTAAGTTTAGAGGGGGATCTTGTGTTCTAGTTTAGGTGGCTTTTTGTTTTGTTTAGTTCTTTGCTTTGGCGTCACTCTAGTTCCTTTTCCCCTAAAACTTTTGATGGTATTTTTTTCTTCTTCTTATTATTATATATACATTGTACAAAGCTTACACATGTAGGCCTCTCTTTTGTTGGCTTCATTTTTCTTCTCCTCGTAAGAGGAATAAACGAATTGAAAAGTAAATGTTGTGTCCTGGTGTATTTTCCATCCATCTACTCAGTAATAATTGAATATTATAAGTGTTACGTTTATTTTCCCTAGACGACTTAATTAAACAATATCACATGAATTCATTGATGCACATGCTGGAATTTATGCACTAAATGTGTTTCCATTGTAGTTTACGCACATATCGCATACGTTTTTTATGTGCATTTCTAAAGTTGATGCACATCTTGCCTTTTCCATTAAGCTTTGTTTAATGCATATCCCAAAATGTGCATACAAATGAGTGGATGGAAACACTGATAATGACTAACACATTAACCACTTTCTTGGCTCTGAAAC